AAAAAGAAGAGTCCTACCTCGATCGGACAGCGACGGGATGATATTTCGATAAAAGTTCGAAAAAGCACCCTCAGGGCTATGAGCCATCGCCAAAGAGAGTTCAAAATTTTCCTAAGACCAGGTACCGTCAGAAAATATAAAGGGAAAGAAAGACCGGGACCCGCCACGTGGGAATCTACCTTGCACCAAAGTCGCGAAAAGCAAAAACACAAAAGTACAAGGCGAATAACAACAAAAAATTCTTCTTTATACAAAGTCACTGCGCAAATAGTTGTGGATTACATACGGCTTGGATCAATAGTCAAAAGAGATAGCTATCTTTTCACTCGGCGTCGTCATCGCCGCCGTCGTCATCACCATCTCCATAAGGCTCGTCATCATCACCATCCGCACCCTCATTAGCTTTGGATGTCGCCGCGTCGTATCCACAATTTGTACGAGCCTCACGAGCTTTCGTTCGCGCTTCCTCATAAACTGCCTCAGTCATGGTGCCTGCTTCCCGCGCCACCAAAAATATACAGAGCACGACTAAGGAACAGAATGAGGGGTCAGATTCCTCTCGACTACGTCGTATGCGTGTTCTGTCCGTCGGGCCCGACGAGGCACGACCCCGACGAACAGAGGTACTAACTGTATTGGTCAAAATCTGACCACTTCGACCAGGGTGGCCACGACCTCATTCTTGCCACCGGATAGAAGAGGTCAATAGAGTTAACCTCATCCCTCCTTTAAGGCATTCGACACAGCAACAAGAGCAATGCCTTCCCACGACAAGGAAGCCCCACTTACCCAAACATTCATCTTTCTTAAATGAAAGAAAATTCGTCTCACTGAAGATCGGGTGAATCTTTTCCTTTATTCACATTTTTGTTACTTAATGCATCTTTCTTTATGTTGTTAAATCTGACCGTAATTGCCGTCAACATTTATATTCGGCTATGTTTTCTAATTCATATTATTCATCTTCTTTGATTGATTTGCTTAAAAAGAGTTTAAAATCTTTTGAGTCAACAAAGTTGCCAACAGACTAATGATGGCAAAGATGATTCTGCAGTGAATGTTACTGAGAGGTACCGAACGAAGCTCATGAACCTGGATGATGTAGCTGCAATCACCAGGGGAAGGAGAGTGCTTTTGGGAGGAGCTAATCTGTTTACTTGTGCTTAAAAGCATTAGCTGATTCAAGATTTTAAATCAGGGAACACGATATACTACTGACAGACCAAAATTGATATATAATATATATATATATAGTTGGATCTCCAAAGGAATGGTGCATGTCCGCCTATCTGATGCACGTTATGAAGTATGGCTCTGTGAAGTACAAGATTTCTCCAAGTTATGGTTCGCACAGAAATCAGAGTTGCCCATTGGTATGCCTATCCGGACTGGATCATGATATATGGATTTTGTAATCACTAGAAAGAACTTATTATTGATAGTTGTATAAATAGTTTATTGCTATCTTCAACCATGAGCTACAAAGAAGAGCACATTTGTTGCTTCAGGTAATAATTTAAGCCTCAAGACTTCGCTGCACTTATTTTTTCGATACCGAACCCTAGGAAGTCCACGTTAGGGAGACTCGTTTGTTCCTTGAACTTGTTCTTTGTTTTAACCTCATGCTTAACATACCCATCAAAGGAATATAAGCTTTAAAGCCTTGCTGGAGAAGGCTACTTTTAAGCATCTACTTCAGTTTTTATTTGTTGGCAAAACCAGATTCAGAATTTATATCGCACTGCTGTTTTGTGATAGTTGATCCTGGTTCTACTTTATCCACTCTTTAGGCCTCGGCCCATAGTCTTATATGGGAAAACATCGTTTACTTATTGTATTGTTACTCCAAATACAATAATTTTTTATTGTTATTTAAATTTTATTATATCGTATCGTTAAATTCATCGTTACATAACGACGAAAAGTACTTTATGGAACAACAGATTCAGCGTGTTAGCGTCATTTCCTTGCTTTTTTCTCTCATCTTGCCCTTCCTTATTATTAAATAATCATATTTTATCCTTTATCCTACTTTTTTATATAATAATTCTACTCTGTATCCGATTTTTTCATTGTAATATTGCAAGTTTATTCTTCATATTATTGGTGCATGAAACGACGTCAAATGATACAATCCATCCAAACGTTGTGTTCATCAAACAATACAATACAATATAATACAATACAATACGATACATTATGAAACGACACGTAACAACAATCCAAACAAGTTGTAAAAGAAGAATGAATATTACATTCTAAACCTATAATTTTAAGGAAGCGGTTGCTCTAGTGACAACAGCCTGAACCCGTTAAGTAAATCTTAGATCAGCCTCTGCCCAGAAAAGGTCAGTGAGATAGCGTCAAACCCATATAATCACATATAAGAAATAGATCCCCAAAAAAAGGATAAGATCGGGAATACTGAATACATTTTGTATAGAATATCTATCAGTTTGTTGGAGTTCGTATAGTTCAAAATGCCTTTAAAAGTATAACTCGTCACTACTATTCCTTTATATACACAATCGCCTGACACCATATTGCCTAATATTGTTTGCTTCTATACTTGTCAAGAGGGTGGAAGGGGAAATACTTTTCAAAGAAAACTAAGAGAAAAACACCCAGAAATGAGAAAAAGGGAATTCTGGTTTTAGAGGACAAAACTTTTTTCTCACGCTTTCAACAGCTGGGCAAGTACTCTTCATCAAGCCATTAAACTAGCATTCTAGAAACTGTTTGTTCTCTGACCAGCTGCAACCCGTGGACCATCCTAAAACACCTAGGATCATATCGATCCTTGCACATGCATCAACCTGCAGGAGCTGAGAATTTATAAAATGGCACATGAAGAGAAAGCTGTTATACCGACGCATGTTCAGTAAGCATACCAAACTCTCGAGGCTCGCTTCAATATGAAATAGCTCGACAGCCATTCCCTTCCCTCTATCCGTCTCAACCTGCAGTTTTTAGAGTAACTATTCGGTCACCTCATGATTGAAAAGTTTAAAATAATCGAAACGGAAGGAGAATATGACTATTTAGTTGCTGAGAGCTTCATACATTTTTCAGAATGCAGATTCAAAAGGTGATATCCCAAACCTAATAGAACAATGCAATGGAAAGAATGAAAATTAATATATAGGTTGCTCAGCATAAAAGTAGCTGAGAATTGTTTTAGTCCTCTCCCTCATAATAGTTCAGCACGAATTTCTCTTTAGTCCACCACTTTCACAATGAATGTTCAGATACTGTCCTTACATGCTCTGTAAATCTAAATCCTATCCCGCCTGTTTCCTACTTATGAGGCCATAGCTTGTTCAAATGCTAAATGCCCTCCCAAAAGGTTTTCAATCACTCCAGGTGTTACATTCATGTCTTCTTACTTCGCCATCAGCATATCGAGAAAAGCTATGTATGCTCTCTTACTGCACCAAGATGTAAGCGTTGAATCTAATTAACTAACTTAAACTTGCAAAGTCCTCGTTTAACAGAGTTCAATTGTTAGCTCCTGCTGACATAGGAAAGATCATTAAGCTAACAGTGTCACCTACTTCATTACGAACTGTCTAATTGAGATAGCTAATAAAGATGTCTAATTCATACTGAACCACTACAATGGAGCAGTTCCAGGTTCAGCTATTAAGCATATAACAAATGGTGAATACTTTCGCAGACGCAAGCTTAGTTTAGACACCAACTGCTAACAGCTTCATTGTCCACCCAAACCCTATTATAATTCCGATGATCAATATGCATAGCTCAGGAGTTTGAAACCTAGATGAAAGATAATGTGATTTCTTTTATAAAGTAAATGGAAAATAATGTGATAAATATTCAACTCACCGAACAAGAACATATGCTGATGCCTACGGCTGCCAATGCTGAAGTAACATTCGCCATCATGCCTAATTAAAATCATGGTTTGAGATATCAGCCATTAAAAGTTATAAACCATGAAACTTTTTGGTCAGATATTAAATTCTTATTAATCAAGCAAAACTGGAATTCCAGTTATGGTGATAGACAATATTCATGTAAAAATGAATATATGAGGTTAACAAGCTGGAATACAGGTAGTTGTTACTATAAAAATTACATCAAAAAGGTCAAAAAAAATTCAGTAGTTAAGCTGTAATTAACAACTAAATGTTAGATCTAAACTTTTAAACACGTCATTCTTTAGAACTTGAAAATACTTGCTCCTTCGAGGTAGTCAAACTTTTAATCACACCATTCTCACACATCTCTCGCAATGGGTATGGTATGATGGTTAGGGTCTCTACCCTTAACCAGATGTCTCAGATTCGATCTCGAGCCCTGGGAATGGAGACACTGTTGATTTGGAGCGCTTTTCACTCCCCTACCCTTAGTGGCATACCAGTGGGAGTCTGGATTGGCTGGGCCGGTAGGTTTAAGCTACCAGATGCTTGAAGCAAAGAGTGGGGGAAGAAAAAAAGAAGAAAATACTTGCGGTGCTAGTGGTAATGATTTTTCCAATGACTTAGATAGAACCACCAATCCATAGGAAAGTTCAAAAATGCATCTACAATAGATGAGCAGAGATGCCTTATCCAGTTTGATGCCCATATAAAAATAATTAGCCTTTAGCCCAATCATTACCTTTTCGATCTATGTTGACAACACAAAGCCACTGGACAGAGTGCCCTTCCAGGTTATGCCAAGTTGCAACTTTGCTAGCCAGCCAGCCGTCCAATCCTGGCAGAACTTCCCTGTACCTTGGTATGTTAGCAAGTATCATTTTGCCAACACCATTTCCTTGTGACAATGTCTCCCCTGTGGCCTTCAAACTCATATGCTGCATGCATTTGTTATGTTTCCCATTTACCTTGGGAATCTGAATACTAGTACTACGGAGTTGGAAAATATCTTCAGTACTCATACTTGCAGATGATGTCTCCATAACATTCTTGAGGATTTTCTCCCACGAATGTTTGGTTTCCTTAGAATAATCTGCTAATTCTTCCAATCCACTGTCACCTTCAGACTCAGCCGCAAATTCCTTTACCGAATCCACTGTTATTTCAGTTGCTGATAATGCAGCTTGCTCTCTCAAGAACTGAGGATAAAATGAGTACCACATTAGTTAATATGTAATAGTGATTATACTACCTACAAAATTTCCGTCTTAGCTATGCAGAAAACACCTACTTTCATAATCCTGTGCCGGGCACTACGAGTTTTTGCATGTTGAAGCCACTCTTTATGTCTCTCAAAAGCAGACTTGCTGGAGAGACCCTGAAAAGATAAACAGCAAGATGCTTGTAAATACCAGCATGATGAACTAATAACTTGGCTGCATCAAGTAACAATTTACTAAGCTTACAAAAATTAAAATAATGATGATACTACACATATAGGTTGCTCCGTACTCCAAGGCACGAAAATCCAACAACTTAAAGTTAGCTACAATAAATCCAATTTCAGACTAAAAAGATAGCTAATCCTTGTGTTAGAAATTAGTTGGTACAGTTACGTGCGTAATTAAATGACAGACGCACAATAATATATAAAGAAAATCTTTTCTTTTTTACATGATAAATTCACCTGGAACACCTCAAACACCCCACCCCCCAATAAACATCGTGGCCGGTTCCTGCTTTGCTCCATAGGTGACTCAAATTCCCAACCTTAGGGTTGGAGGTGGCGGCCTTGCTAGTAGACTATCTTCCCTTGCCAACAATACATATTGAAGCATGACAAGTTTAAATGTCAATAGCACAAGAGGGAGGTGCAAGAACTGAAGAATTAAATGGAAATGGAAAACCAAAAAGATACATGCTTTACATATTAGAAACAATTGAACTTTATCTTCTTTTTTTGATAAGTAACAGCTGAACTTTATCTGCTTAACCTTGTGACTGTAAGCTTCAGCCAAATCGACAAAAAATTGCATTTCTTCCACCCATATTGCTTAAACTCTAAGGTTTAGTTGATATTTAGAATGTTCAGAATTACAAGACATATAAGACATGATTAAATGTCTCAGCAAGACAAAAACAATGAAAATGTAGCAAGCATAGAGCTGCCCACAAAAGGAGGAGGAAGAAATATAGAGAAGAGAACATAAGCAGAAGAAGTTATGGAATTCATAGCAACTAACATTGTAGGTGATAATCTCTACGACTTCTGCGTTTGCAAGTACATGCAATGGAGAGACAAGATTACCATTCACCTGCAAACAGAAGAAGCTGCAATCACATTCAGATTCATTAAGCATTAAAAACAGATAGTAACAAGAATAAAACCTTTGCGGCCACCATTTTATTGCCAATTTCAGTGTGTATCATATACGCGTAATCAATGACGGTAGCCCCCTTTGGGAGATGTTTTATCTGCAAAGAGCAAAGTGGTACAATGATAATGTAACAAGACCCAAAAAGGCAACAAATTGAGTAGAATATCTCGCAGATTTTACCACTCCTCCGGGTGTAAACACAAAGACACGACTACCCAACAGATCTCTGGTAATAGTGTCCACAAATTCCCTAGAACTCATGTTTCCGACGAACTCTTCTTGCCACTCCCTAATTGCATTCAGCCAGCCAATCTAAAGCAGAAAAGGACTTTACCAACAACAACAAGAACTACGCCTCAATCCCAAATAAGTTGGGGTCGGCGATATGAATCCTAATTTCTTTCATTTAGCTCAACTCATATCAACATCATTACCAAAATAAAATAAAAGTGCAAGTAAAAAGAAGATATATATATATAAATGATAGTAGTAGTAGTAGTAACATAATAATAGAAATTTCCTACCAAGCCTAAAACCTATTCCCAACTAGTAATAATTATAGATGAAGACCACACAGCTAATAAGGCACTAGACAATTTAGCAAAAGCAACAGATTTAAACCCTGAGAGCAATATTGGCATTGTTAAGGCAGACTATTTTCCCTCGTGAACTCCTACCATTGATTATAACATGCCCAACTAAACCATTTACAAAACCTTTCCCACTGTAATGCGCAGCAATGCCTCTCTCAGCTATCAGGTCCATCTCTTCAGTTCTTATCTGCCAAATATTACGCAAGTATAATCAAGCTGCTAGAAGATAAGCAGAACCAAATAAATGCTACCTTGTCAATAGACCATGAGACAAATTCCAAAAATCAGAAAGTAAAATGTCAAAGACATTCAATAGGATTATGTTTATTTTTTATTTTTTAAAAAAGACACTTCTAATAGGATATATATATTCCCCACTCAAAGCTGGACAAAATATTAAAGTAATAGGCTAAAAAGTTATTCTGATACAGGAAACATCAAAGAAAATTTTAAGATTTGGAAAGTTTAATGTATTTGAATTCTTGAAAATTTGTGTGGAAATAGAATGGTGTCAAACATTCTTGGATGTTCCAACATGAAAGTGTGTCATAAATATTGGTATAGAAGGAGTAACTGATATCATTGTTGTTCATAAGTTTTGGGAGGTGCCATGAATGTACCTGAACTTCCAAACGAAACATGCTCTCATAAAGAAATGGGATCACTGTTGTATGAAGACTTTGATAGCCATTAGGCTTTGGAGTGGCGACGTAGTCTTTCATCTGTTGCAAAATGTTACAAATAGAGCGATCAAAGTCCATTAGCATATCACAAGAATAAGGGATGCAGATATATTATGCAATACTTACAGCCCGCGGGATAGGTGTCCAAATTCCATGTACAAGTCCAAGCACATGGTAGCATATCTATAGAGGAAAAATATGTTAGAGGCATCTCTATAAATTATACAGAAAGAGGTGCAAGTTTAGGTATTGATTCAAATATGAATTTGATGCATCGTGCAGCAATCTTTCTGCTTAATGTCCAAAGTAATATAGAAACTTAGGCACCAATCTTTTTTTTATAAGGTAGGTTAAACATTCCTCATTGACGTCACCATCGAATGAGCCTGACCAAAAAGTATATGATGTATAAGACATTAATGACCAATCTATATGATGTATAAGACATTACTAACTGGTCTTATTTTAAAGCAAAAATTAATGACCACAAAACATCTGCTGAACGCGTAGTATTCCAGTAACAAAATAATACACCACCATTACCCACTTTTATCATAACATTGGGAATACACAAGTAGTGTGCCCACTTGTTCACTTCCTGATGTTCTGGTCAAAGGTTTCCAAATTATAACCCCCTTGAGCTTGAACAATATATGTTATAAACAACTAAAATTGAGGTAAAACCCAACAAAGTATTCAACTTCAAAAGGAAGTGGTATCTGCATCTTCATAACATGTTACCTGCTGTACACTGCAAAGGGGCCTAACTCCAACACAAGGTTTTGGTTTTATAATAATTCGAAGCTGGCAATCCAAGAATATAAAGTTAATATACAACCTTACACAAAACAGAGCATCTTCTATCAAATCAATCAAGCTTACAACAAAAGAGGACCTGCGCGATTTGGTTCACTTCGTTTATCGAGTTCTTAGATTTCAGCACTGCTTTGTAGATGCTGCAGATAAGAATCACAAAAGCTGGCTGAGGAAACATTCACCATCGCAACCATAAAATATGTATGTATAGGTTACCAAAAGGGGCACATTTCAGGTGTGAATTAAAAAATAAAAGTTAAAGATCAGAAGCACCGAGAACTTCCATTGTAGCTTTGCTTTTGGAAAATATGCACTATTACTCAAAGCCCATGCCTATATTATTTGGAATAAGCAGGAATAGATCTAGCAATTCAACCTTCTCATACTATGTGGGACATTTGGGAGTATGATAGAAACTCCAAACACGAAAACAATGCAACAAAGTAGACAAGATCACTACGGCCTGAAAGTAGAGCAGAAAACTAACATACTTTTTCCCTCCAGGTGTGGAAAGAAATTCCCTAGATCCCAAACAATGTACAAGCAATAGGCGGAACGACAATAAGAAGAGGTTCCACACTTCGGGGCAGAAAGAGCAACGTGCTGGTAAAATGGTTATGAGTCATTAATCAGAAATTTATCGGCTATGGTAGAGCAACTTTTTTTGATTAGGCAGATGGTAGAGCAACTAATTAGGTAGGCATCAAGCTAAAGTAGAATTTGTATTTCCTTTGAGGCTGTGATAACCCGCCACTAAAAAATTACTATCAAAGAAAGAGAATCTTGAAAGGAAAAAAACTGTATGAATGCCAGGACAGGCAATAACAACAAAATAAATATGAACTTAGGACCAGGAAATTGGCATATGTGCACCTGTAAGGTTCCTTGCATATTGAATGAATTTCAGTCTTCACCGTCACGAGATCTNAAAAAGTCAAACTCAGTTTATGCCTTCTGAGCCAGGAAAGTACAATAGTTCGCACAACTTACAAGCTGTCCAAGGATCTGTGCAACTGCAACTGGGTGAATAATAAAGGGCTCTCCACTACGACGCTTTTGACCATCATGCGCCTCAAAAGCAAGCTGTAATAATAATCAGTAGATCAGACAGGTTTTTCAGCTACTCTGATTTAGTGGGAGATTATGGCATGCCAAATATTTGTAACAGATGTTTCATCTTGCAAAGAAAGAAGTGATGAGAAAGGAAATCAAAGCCGAGGAGAAGATCAATTATGTTGATTATATGGGAATATACTTACATTCAAAGCCTTGCGAACCAATTCCAATTCCTTGTAAGAAAGTTATGAAATGGAAGGTATAAGACCCTGTGAAATAGATAATTAACTTTGGTTAGATACTAACATAACAACAACTAACCCAGTATAACCCCACAAGTGGGGTCTGGGGAGGATAGTGTGTACGCAGACCTTACCCCTACCTTGTGAAGGTAGAGAGGTTGTTTCTGATAGACCCTCAGCTCAGTATACTAACAATAACAGACACTTGATATTAGCAAATGAGCATAAAAATCAGGCACTTAGAGTTGAGAATTCATACTGTATCTTTCAAAAACTATTCACAAATGCAAAATTAATCAATTTCAGAAGGAACATGAATTTGTCCAAATTTATGTAGAAAGAAATGCCACAAAAGACACCAGCTGCAGTAGATTCAATATTGAAAGTATGAAAGTTTTATGTATGGAAGAAAAAACAATCAGTAGAATGTGGAATTAGCAGTTCTCAGATAGGCTCAGGCTTTTCTATTTTAATTAGGATATCTAGCGATATTTGAATCAATAGGATTTTCCATTTTTTTTCCTGCCAGAGAAATTGATTAATTTTGCATTTTCTTCTCAATTTCCAAAAGCAACTGATAACCACAATTCATGATCTTTCTATCATGAGAGAGCTATGATGTTTAGGCAAGCTAATTTAAGAGTAAAACCAACAAGTTTTGACTAGGAAAACAGACTTTGTTCATTAATGATGCCAGGAATCAGAGATGACTCCGTAGCTGGAGGATCACTAACCTCTGTTGATGAATGTTCCTATATACATTTGTTCTGGGGATCCTTCCAAGAATAGCTGTTTGTGGCGTTGTGATTTGGGGGAGAATCTTAGCATATATGATATTGGAGGCCTATTTAATCATAAACACAATGAGATCAGATCATTGAACTTCCGCTTTCCCTCATAAAATTTATAAGTGTTGCTGAGAGACGTACTTACCACAATTAAAAGACCTATCTCAACAGAGGCAAAGAAAACTACACCAAAAAAATGCTCCCACCGTGCAAGCAACAAAATCAAATTTGTCAATCTTCTAAATCAAAATTGCCGCTTCGTAGTCTACTAATCCAAGTGAGAATATATATTAATTAACTATAATTCAATAATAATATTAAATATAAAGACATGTGTCGTAATATGATAAATTATACTATTTTTATGTTTTATTACCCGATATATATATATAGGTGGTAGCTACAAAAATGATGTTCTTGTGTATATAGTCGAAACCGTTTCCCTATTATATTTATATGTTTTATTTGTATTATATAGAGGTATTTGTACTGTGTCGATTATAATTTAGTTATATTGCATTAATGATAAATCATAATTACGGCTATACTACTGCATGCCTAAAAGAAAAAGAAAGCTATTTTTATTGCAAAGGTGTATTATTTTAAAATAAAGGGGATCCTTTCCTTATTTGAGGTAAAATCTCAATTGAATCAAACTCCTAAATATTAGGACCTAATTGAATAAGCAAAGATTTAATAATCAAAATTTAATGATAAAATTCTAAATATAGGAAACTAACTTAAATTACTATTTTGTCCATTGTGAAATCTATTTTTTAAGGGTAAAAAAAGGTGAACGACATTTCGCTAAGGGCCTTCGTGCTTTTAATATAGTATAGATATAGATAACTTAGATCTTATCCATATTAACCCATTTTAAAAAGTTAATTGGCCAACTCATTTTTTCGTGAATACTATGGATGAATATTTTTTTTAATCAATTATACCACTACTACTTAATAAAATACTTTTATAACCACATAAATCTCATAGCATGTTTAAGAATATAAAGCGCAATGTTTTTCTTGAAGGGGATTAGAACACTAAAGAGCAACACAAAGAACTATCACAACTAGGAGAGGGAAACGGGCAGGTTGGGTCGGATATGATTCGGGTCGAAAACGGGTAATGAAAAAACGGATAAATTATTCGACCCGATCCATATTTAAAAGGGATAAAAAACTGGTTAACCAGCGGAGTAACCATATTATCCATGAATTCTTGCATCTAACCATATTAAATGTAAAAGTTATGCATAAATCTCATATGATTAGATTTAAACGGGATATTATCCATGAACTTTTCAAATATGATTATCCATATTTGACCCGTTTTTAAAAAGTTCATTATCCAACCCATTTTTTAGTGGATAATATGGATGGTTAAATGTTTTCTTTTAACCATTTTGTCACCCCTAATCACAACCAACGAAACAGCATAGGACAGGACCCGTCGAGAAAATTAGGTAAAATAAGCAAATTTCAATATATAAAATAGATCAAACATATGAGCTTTCTTAGAAATACAATCATAATAATTTCTCCTCCAGCAAAATAAATTTAAATAAACATTTCTGTAATTAACTTAGTATCACAATACTAGAAACTCAATATGCGAAGGCACTTCACCTTCAAGCTGGAGCTTAGCAAATTGTCTTGCCATTTGCTCCTCCTCACTTTTGTCAAGTGAAAAAGAGACATAATAGACATGTTGAGGTCGGGGATCAACAATGATTTTCTGGAGCGCAATTGCATTTTCCAAGAAATACCTAACGAGTTCAACTTCACTGGTACGCCCATAATATCCACTCAGCCTGAGCACTTTGAGGTGATGGAGGGGACATCTTGCAGCCTTCCTACACTCTCTTTTTGACCTCGTGGGTTTCGCCCACTTCAACTGCCACTAAGAAAATTGAACCACCACACTTATAAGTAAGCTAAAAAAATGACAAAATAGTAGTCATATTGGAAATGAGAAGAATCACTAAGGTAAAAGCAATCCATGGAACTTTCAAGTTACAGCTTAACTAGTAAGATCTGCATACCATATTCAGATCCCAGAATGGCTCTAAAGATCTGGCTTCCTCTCCCCTTAACTCCCGACATCCCTCTTTTTTATCAAGGAACATATAACTACCAAAGGTTGTCATGGGTGGTAAGTATACCTTCACAGCCAGTGATTTTCTAAAACATTTCATGATTGACATTCATAACATAAAAATATAAACTTCCAAACATCTAATCATATATCTTCTGCTAATTTGATCAAGGAGGGCAAAGAAAGCTGTTGTTAACATTTATTATTCCATTTCAAGTTTGTTCAAACAGCAAAATCTACAAAGACTTTTAGATAAGAGAACTTTTGCAGCTGTTCATAGGTTGCCCTTATTTGATTGAGCGCTTCAAACTTTTGAGGTTCACAGTACCAATGGACTCTCAGAGCATTCAACTTTACTCTAACTCTTCTACGATCCCAAATGATTTTATTCAACAATTTAAGCAGGTAAACTTTAATCAGATATCACTTAGAAGCGTATTTGGAGGATTCTTGTTCTTAACAGTAATCAACTTTGCTGCCTATGATCACATTTCAGCTTAACATTCTAAGAAAAAGGGTTAGGTCAAACAAGTCTTTGAGAGAATAATGGAAGACATTTTTCAATAAGGTAAAGCTTAAAAGAATATAGGAAGACATTAAACCAACAATTAATTCAACTGTACGAGTGCTGTTTGAGAAGTGCATGCCCAATGCGCTTGTCTCATAAATTTTCAAATGTCATTTGATGCCCGAAGGCATCAGTTTCATGGGAAACGAATAACTGCTACTCCACTCTTTCCCCTATCTTTAAAAAAGAGTTAACTTTCCTCTCCAAAGAGAGCTTGTGGCCTAACATAAGACCTCTACCTCAACTGTCCTCTACATCACTGGCTCCATTGCCAAAAATACAATCGATTCAAATCCCTATTCCTGGGAGTCATTTGGTTGGGACACCAACTCTCAAATCTCCTCTACCAAATGCTTCTCTTGATTTCCAACAACATCGTTTAAGTCCTCATCTCCACAGCCTCTGTTCTAGTCTATTCATCCTTCACAGGCCTAACTATCTACTACCAACGGCAAATTACTTCTCGGCCCTCTTGCTGGCATGTTCTCTTTTGAATTTGGTTCATGAAATGAGGACTAATGGGTTCACAGTCTAAGCAGTTTTAGGAAAAGTTTGAGAGCAAAATAGTCATTGTACAACAAAATGCCTAATATAGTAAAGTATTAAGAATTGAAAATCTGGGATAACAGAAAAATCGGTCAACTATCAAGTCACGGACAGAATAAGTAATACCAACGAAATGCCAGAATCAGAATTCAATTCTGGAGTCACTCCACCATACCGAACGAGCTTTAAGGCAGTAATTCAGTAAGAGAATTTAAGTGGAAGAGTAATGAAAGATCAGATTTGGTTTCACGTGATAAATGCAGGTTGAAGCTTAAGTCAGCTCGCCTATCCACAACCTATTGAAGAATGGACACCTAAATAAAGGTGGGGACTATTAGAATGGCACAGAAAAATAGTTAGAAATTAGACAACAGCCTGTTAAGCAACACACATTCATGTCCGGCTTGTCATAACCTATTCTTACCAAGCTTGATTTGTGATGTAACTGAATTAAAGTAACGGAGCACAAGCAGCACTAATTTCTCCAACCAGAACTCGAAATAAACAAATTAGACTTATCACATACCTTCAACTCAAATTCCTCCAACAATGGAGCAGCCTCAATCACATGTTCCCAACCTAATACACTCATGCCTTCCCATGCACGAACACATACAACAAATTTCTTGAGCTTGGTCAATTCAGGAAACTTGTAATGCCCCATATATTTCTGGGAGATATTAAAAACACACCAATTAGCACAAGCAAAGGAAAGGTAGATGTACATTTCAAAAGTTTGATTACTGACCAATCCCATATTAGCAGTTATTTTGAGGACCTCTAGCTGAGAGAAAACACAGGAAACCCCAGCCAAACCAATACGTTATCCAAAGTACTTGAGAAGCTAATAATGTCTACCTCAATCAGCATAGGAACATTCGAAAGCAATAATCTGTTCCCTGATGTAGTCCCAAGCGTTACAAGGTTTGTATCACGGATTTTAAGTGATTTTAAATCGGGGCAGGACCATATCCCCATGTGTTTCAACTTGAGGGAAGGACCAACAACATCCAAATTTACCAACGTTGCCGCTGCATAAACCACCATTTCTTCAAGATATGGACAATTTCGTAGGAAGAACTTCACTTGTCACGTTTACGCACTTCAATAACAGTACCTTTACAGACTTAAAATTATGCTGGAGAGGTGGGAACTCGAGGAGATTGTTCAAATGAGGTTGATTGAGACCAACGAGCTGGGGAGGGAAAGTATAACAATAATCACAATCTCGAATCTGCTCCCCACCTTTTAACAATTCCAACTCNCCCCCCACCCCCTCTCCCCACTCCCTCCACCCAACTAAGGGTGTTTGATGTTTGGTTTTTCCTAAAAAGAAACTACACCAAGTAACTCCTTCTCAAATATTGGAACTAAACCAAACCAATTAAGTCGGTTTTTTATCAATTCAATTTTTATCGGTTTTTTGGTATTTTCGATTATTTATCGGGTTTTTCTTAAATATGAGACATACATAATCAAACGCATATTCCGGCGACTACATTTTCAACGTAACACTATCCAATCAATTGTTGTTTGAGAAATCTATTATTTATCAAGATATATTGATGATAATTGAATCAAATAACGATGAATAATTTAAGTACTCAATTAAAAATCGATTATTTTTAACATGAAATAATTTCTTATACTTAGTAAAAGAAAACTACCAATCAAACTAGAATGTAAAGGCAAAGAATTAGATTATTATAATAGCAAAGAACTAGATTATAAAAATACAAATGACTAATATGTAACATAAAATTTTAAAAACTTTATACAAAAATACACACACACACATATATATATAAGTGTAATTATACAATTAAATAGCTATTTATAGTCGGTTTGTTCGGTTTTTTTGGTTATTTTTTATTAAAACCAAACCAAACTTATAAAGTATCGGAGGAGTTTTATTGATTTTTTCGGTTTTATTTGGTTTTTCGGGTTTTGATGAACGCCACTAACCCCACTATCCACATCTAGAAATTTTATTTTAAGTGAGACTCAACTACACCTTTAGTTATTAGACAAGTGGAATAGTAGGTCCCACATGGCAGGCTCCCTCTTTTATCTTTGCACTCCCATTTCATCTGCCTTTCTCATCTTTTTATCCAATTTTAAGTGGACTCTAAGTTACCTACATATGCACCTATTTCTTTTCGTAGCTTTTTAATTTGTTTGAGCCAAATATCTATATCTATATTGTATTAAAATAACGATAGCGAACCATAATATTAAGTCAAGTGGCATATTGAGAAAATGTTAATTGACACTTTTAAGACATAATATAAATAGATTTTAGACAATTTTAATCTATATCAATATTTATATCTATATATGAATCCACTTACCAAATTTTCTTCTATATTAGCTAGAAACATGGGGGTGAAAAATTAATTAAAATTTCATATTGAAATAACTAGAAAATATAGGAAGAGCAAAGATAGTGATTATTAGGACAAAGATGGTAAAAATGTTAAGCCAAGTGGCGATCTAATAAAAAGTCACTTTGCAACTATAGGACAATATTTATTATCCATGTATATATTTATATCTAGAATTGATAAATAAATTTAGGACAAAGATGGTAAGTATTAGATTCAAGGATGGTAAAAATTAGGACAAGATCATGTGAATACAATCTCTCATCTTCGATTTCAAAATTGATATATTATTTATATCTTTATTTATCTATCAATCAATATTATTATAAAAGCACGAATAATTTATGGTAAATGTTGAACGACTAAAATATCCCTTAAACATTGATCGACTTTTATAACATTAAAATTTTATATAATTTAAGAATATAAGTATAAATTATTTAACGTTACAATTCTTTTCCGATTTAAATTACATCATACGTCGATCTTACAACTGAAGTCTCTTCCAAGTAACCATCGCAATGGGATTGAAGCCTTTCTTATTCAAACGTTTGATTCCTTGTGGGATTCTACCACAAATTATCTTAGTATTTAAAGGAAGCTGGAAGTCAATGATTTTATACAAAAGGCTCCATGTATTCCACAAATGTAGTGGTTTCATCTTTACCTTATCAAGGCTAATTTTATTATTTTAAATTCCATTCAATGTATGCTCCTCTAATCTATTTTATTTTTCATGTTTTAGATTCTTAGGGTAATACATATCTGAAGGATTACGTATAGGTGTTCGTAACACGCAACGGAAGACAATAACAATTCTAGGCAGATTTTTTTGTATTTAAAATTTTATTTACATGTCAAATATCGGATCCGAGATGTACCTGGTGAAGAGAGTATCATTTCAAAATTTCTTCGATAGTGCGAAGACTCTATGCGTATCCACACCGAGACCGATCCTTACTATCAACTCTTTGATCAATGAAACCCGCGAACAAATTGAACGAAAAACTTGTGCTGAAATTTTTCTCAAAAATCTCAACTCAAATTAGAAGAACAAGAAACACTTTTCTTGTAATTGTATTTCCTCTCTTGGCTTTGTATTGCACTCCCACTTTCACAAAGTATTTTTCTTCTCTAGAAAAATTACGGCAAATTTTCTCCATCACCTTTTATATAGCATCACATATAAACCCTTTTTCCTATTTGGTTGAGGTAATGATTTACTTAGGGTAAACGTTTATTCCAAAATAAACTTCATGGAATTTTTATGGAAAATTAGAAAATCGCGTCTCAATGAAACGTGACTGCCGAGCCTTTCACGTAAATCATCCAACTCAAAGTTGGATTCTCTTATTTGTGAATTTTTCATATATAAGGGAAATATTAATCCCATTTCAAATGGGTTTGAATTTGCCGAACGTCCTTTTTAGGACTTTATACGTAAAGTTATCCAATCCACAATTGAATTCTACTTAATAAGTTTCCAACAACCTCTTGTTGCTTAATTAATATTTTATATAACATATCTAATATAAAATAATATATATTTTAACCAAGAGATATAATTATCTATTTCAAATAGAAAACTTTAATTTATTCACAATATTAATCATATTCTTTGTGCTAGCAAAGAATTTAATAATATTTCATTTGGACTAATAATTAAATTTATTTGACTAATTAAATTCTTTAATTTAATTATCAAATACTAAAGTAATTAATCTTTTAGCAAAGATCAGAACACTCGTTAGTGTGCGGCCTCATAGGTTCAATATTAAGCCGGGAGAAAATTGATCACATCAATATACTAATCAAGGGTGACGTCTAGCAACACTCCTTAATGACCGGATAGCATGAAGTATACAATTTACTCTCAAGAACCAGTAGAAGAATAATGTAGTAATTCATTCTGTCCTTATAGATCTAGATCACCCTAGGATATGGTTCAACTGTCAAATCCTAACAGGCGACCAACTATGTGTTCATGTCAAATATAATTGACCATTAAATAACCTAAGAAACTCATTTCTTCTTTCATTCAATTGCCCTGGCCAAGGTCTTAGTTTGGTCGTTTATAATTCATGACAACAGCGAGCTTAAACTTATTACCAAGAGTTGACAGATTCCATCTTGATCAATCACTAATTCTACAAGTATTTAATCATACCCAATATCCTTTCAACTATCGCCTTAGGGCCATAGGTGTCTGGTATCAAAGCACAATAAATAACTTGTCAATTACTATGACGATCTCAGGTCAAAGGAAACTTTTACATCACATTCTTCAAGAGAATATCCTATTGACACTTTATATGGTAATTCTAACCATTAGGAATTATCCAGTGAGTCGGTTCAATGATCATATCTCTATATGTATCATCTATCTATGTGATTTAGTTAATGAGATCAACTAATCTTTATCCTATAAAGACGATCACATAAATATTGATCTAACCGGATTACTAATGTCCAAATTAATAATCCTACAATCAAGAACAAATTTGGATTAAAATATAAGAAACTTTACTCTCATTATCATGATCTTCATCACAATGCCAAGTCTCAAAATTTAATCAATGACCTTATTAAACTAATCAAACAATTAATAATAACTATTATAAAAGAATATCAAATGCCATATATTTTTATATCAAATAATGTTCAGAAAAATATGTTCAAATCATCAAATATGAGATTGGATCAAGGGCATATCTGCTATATCCCTAACAATCTCCCACTTGCATTAGAGCCAATCGCTCGTGTACTTCATTCCCAATTTTCACTTGTACTTGTCAAACTCCTTTGCACCAAGAGCTTTAGTGAATGTGTATGGAGCATTTTCCTTTTCCATCAACCTTTTGAATCTAGACGTCTCTATGTCCAATGATTTCTATTATCAAGTGATCCCTTTGCAGAATATGTTTGGATTTTTGGTGTGATCTTGGTTTTGTGCTGGAGCAATGGCTCCAGCATTGTCACACAACAATGGAATGGTACCTTCTATTGAAGTAACCACACCAAATTCAGTTAAGAACTTTTCCATCCATACAGTTTCCTTAGCAACTTCACTAGCTGTNTATGAGATTGGATCTAGGGCATATCTACTATATCCCTAACAATCTTCCACTTGCACTAGAGCCATTCGCTCTTGTACTTCATTCCCAATTTTTACTTGTGCTTGTCAAACGCCTTTACACCAAGAGCTTCAGTGAATATGTATGGAGCATTTTCCTTTCCATCAATCTTTTGAATCTAGACGTCTCTACGTCCAATGATTTCTCTTATCAAGTGATCCCTTGGCAGAACATGTTTGGATTTTTAGTGTGATTTTGGTTCTTTCGCTCGAGCAATGGCTCCAGTGTTGTCACACAACAATGGAATTGTACCTTTTATTGAAGGAACCACACCAAGTTCAGTTAAGAACCTTTTCATCCATACATCTTTCTTAGCAGCTTCACTAGCTACTATATATTCTGCTTCAGTCACTGAATCAGCTACTGTAGCTTGTTTGGAACTTTTCCAACTCACTGCACCACCATTTAAGGTAAATACATAACCAGAAATAGATTTGCTATCATCTTTATCTGAAGAGAAACTTGTATCAGTATAACCTTCAAGTTTCAACTCAGAATCTCCATAGATGAGGAATTGGTCTGTAGTCCTTCTTAAGTACTTAAGAATGGTCTTCACCACCTTCCAATGTTCCTAACCAGGATTTGCCTAATATCGGCTAGTCACTCCAAGTGCATAAGCCACATTAGGACGTGTACATGCCATGGTATACATGATAGCTTCCACTGCACTAGCGTATGGGATCCTACTCATGCGTTCTCTCTCTTTAAGTGTTTTAGGATAATCCTCCATATTGAGAG